ATCACCAGAGATATTCACGGAAATATTAATGTTCGGAGCCGAGATTTAATTACTGTACCCCGCAGGGACGACGTGTGGGGAGGCGTGTGAGAGGCGGAGAGACTATTAAAAGATTAGGCGGTTTTTCTTTCATGTACGTCCGCCATTTTTAGGTCACTGGCTTTGTAAAGCCTGGCTTAATTCGTTGAGAATGCGCTCTTAGTTCAGATTTTATTGTTGATAGAGCCTTTGTTTAATGAAAATCTGTAATTACGGGCTCATAACTCCATGACAAAAGCATTTAAAACAAAATGCTGGTATGAGATTGTAACTCATACACTTGCAGTCCACTATGCCAATTTTCGTGATAAAATCTTGAATTTATGCCCCATACAAATTGCTATCTCACCTCAAAATAGAAAGGAATTAAATAGACACTTAAAGCTTTGAGTTGCCTCTGCTTATATATTGCAACAAAAAAATATAAACACGCATATTTTATATTTTCGAGAGTTTTTTTCATTGTTTAAATCAGCACAAAGATAGATGCATTACTGAATAATTAGATGCAAGAAAAAACTCATTTTTGGTATCTGGATGATAATAAAGGGTAACAATATCCTTTAGCAGAGATAAGCAATCAAAACAGTGTGTTACTGCATTGAAAGCCCTAGGTCATTGTAGAAATATCTCCTAAAGTCATACATGTAGAATTTGAAGATGAAATATAGCCCTGCTCATTTGTACAAGAGTATGAAGAAGATGGAAAAGGACAAAGAATGTGGATGACAGAATACCAGCTCAAGCTGGAAACTGGTGTCAAGTTATTAAGTGACCTCGATGTAGTTCAAGTAACTGCGTTCAATGGTACTTTCTTATATGAGAAGTAAATTTTAAGAAAGATGCACGTTTTTAAAGTAGAAAAAAAGATGATCATTTTTAGTTACGGTCGTAAATTTAATAGTTCTTAAGATTTTAATGAGCTGTCTTTTACATTCCATCCACATTTAGACTATCATCTTTCTTACTTTTGTATTTAACTATTTTTATAGTTTTATGAAAGAGATTTATTACATTTTATTCTAGGCCATAGAAAACCAGATCAGAAGTTTTGGTCAGACCCCATCACAGCTGCTCACTGAGCCTCATCCTCCCAGAAGCTCAGCTATGCATGTGGTAAGTTTCTTTGAATATTTTATTAACTATCCTGGTTTTTTAGAAGAAATGATGATTTTCCAAGAAATTTTAACCAATTTTCTCATGAATACCAAAATATAGTGTGCATCATTTTCAAGCACATTTAAGTTTGGATGCAATGAAAATAAATGAATTTCTTTTTTAAATGAACTGTTTGTCTGCAGAATCTTTTGTCATATAATGTTTCTTTCAGTGATTTTATTTAAAAATATATTATCTGCATTTAAAAATGTCTACATATTCTGAAAAGCTATCTATTTTCCCCCAGTGTAGAGCTTACAAGGTAGCAAAGCTGTCAAATTTACAGACAAAAAGCAGATAATAATGATGCACAAAATATGCTATGATTTGTGAGTAGGAGACAATCACTTTTTTCCAGGGAAAATTGGATTTGGCTGGAAAATCCCAGATGGGATACCTTTATGTAATAACTGTGTACGTATGTGCCACGCTTGCTATCTTGGTCTGGGTTAGTATCATTCCTCAATTATATTTAATTTTGATGTCTTTTTTTTCCAGACACCAATGATGTTTTCAAACAACTTGGATGACGTGTGTATGATCATGAAATTTCTGTCCAACTCTCCTGTGGTTCATCTCACGGCCAACACACACCCCTTCATCCCTAACCCAGCTGTGGTCACCATTGCAAGTAACCATAACTTTTCCATAAATAAGTGGAACAATAATCCAGGTATACTAGAATTATCTGTCTGTCAAAACTTGGGACATCTTCCATATGTCATCCATTTCTTAAGCTTTTATGTACTTATGACTGATCAAAACATTGCCCATTTTGTGAGGGGGGTGGGGAGAGAGGGGATTTTTATGTTCAGACCGCACCAAGTTATGTTTTATTATTGTTGCTTTATAGATAATGGTGCTGTGCATTTGCATGCCTAACTGTCATTTTTTTATGATATTTTAAATTATGAAACAATATGTCACTGTCAAGATTCAAATACAGGCAGATGGTCAATTTGCCTAGATGAGATGCCAATTGTGATTTAGCCTGGTCAAGATTCCTGTTGGGATCTCATTTAGGCAGATTTGCTACTGTATGTGCTTAAACAAGGTGCCAAAGACAGCCTTGCCTAGGCAAGATTCAAATCCAAAGATGCATCATATAAAAGTTACCTTTAGCTATCTGTATGGTGGTGCTTAAATACAACTAGCAGTCATGTGATGGCTGTCCTGGATATATCAGTGCTGGGCGAGGGTTTATATTGTATTCAGTTTACCTGCTGTAGGATTCAGCAAGTTAATAAAACTGAGAATTAAAGGGATAACAGCACTTCATATGAGATTCAAAATTCCACAATAAATACATTGTAAACAACACATGGAAATACCATAAATTTCATTATTCCACCAGAACTGCAGTTATCACAATAATTTTGAAATCTGTGCTTGCCATCCGAACACATGTACCTTCATAGATGACTTTCCTCCGGTGAACACACTTTAAAAAATTGATTAACTTTGAATGTCAGAACTGATTTATTAATCACTGGAAAGTATGGGAACATAGGTGTTTACTCCAGAAATTTTATGGCACTTTTCCCTCCAAAATGAAGAGTTGTTTTCCCTTAAAAAAATAGGAATCATACTGTCAGGACAAGCTATACTAAGGAGGTGGCATTTGAACTTATTATACGTGCATTGTATCATCTATTAAATCATCTCAAAGATGTATCCAATATCCAATTTTTATAGATCTTTTCTGTGCTGAGGATTGGTGGGTCTACATGTACATAGAGATTTTTGCAGTAACTACGTGAATGCAGCATGTATTTTGGCATGGGCAACTCTGTAAACCTTATTATTGTACCACCAGCGTTAGCGCTGGCGGTACACATGGTTTCGGTCCCGTCCGGATCGTTCCGCCGGCTCCGCCGGACGACTACCGTTACCGCTTCTCCTCCTAGACGGTAAGGGCCCCCGTACCCATCTCATGGATTTAGGTCACCTATAATCTCAACTCGTTCCACGTAAAATTTGGGCTTTGTCGGTATTGGGGTCTGGGTGTGGCACTCATTACAATGCACCCTTGTCTAAAAATGGCAAAATTAAATGCTAATTATCTACCCTACGGAAGGAGTTATGGGAAAAATTTCTATAGACGGCTTTCCAAAAGTCATATGTGTAGATTTCAAATATACCCTTGGATTTGACCTTTGACCTTTACTTCAAGGTCAAATGGGCCAAAATTTTCAAAAAAATGAAATTTTTTACGAAAAAAAATTTTTTTGCCCTGTTATTCAGACACTACACAGACTTAACCAATAATATTATTGGAAAGTGTTACCCTTCAGGTCATCTTTCATCTCCATGAATTTGGGGTCAATCGGTGCATTTTCACGGGAGTAGCGGCCATAAGATACCGAAACTGAAAACTGTCTCTAATTCGGGAACCGTTAATGCTAGAGACCCATTCTTTTTTGCATTTTGTAGAGCATGTAAAGCCCAACACTGGAGGTGGTCTCGGTTTTTTTGTATTCCATACGGTTTTCGAGTTACGCTGTATCAAAAAGTACATATTGGTGGTAAAAGCAAAATGTGCAGTACGGTAATGGATAATAAATTTTGAACTCTGGAAAAATAAAACATAAGGCTTGGCAAAGCAGACAACTTGTGTTCAAAAATGACATTATTTCATCAAATTTGAACTTCTGAAACTTCAGAGCACCTCCTATTTCAAGAATTTTGACCAAAATGACATTTTCTTTATTTTAATTAATTTTTTCTGTACGAAATTTAAGGCACATTATGGTAACTCCAAAATTATAACATTTAGTCCCTTATATCTCCAAAACTGGCAGAGATAGGTCCATAGTTACTATTGAACTTGAATAGGAAGTCATATACTGGCAATCTAAATGTGACCTTGAAATTGACCTTTGACCTACTTTTCACCATGAATTGAACTTTGCAAATTTTGCTTTCCTTTTGTCTCCAAAACTGGCAGAGATAGGTCCATAGTTACTCTTGAACTTGAATAGGAAGTCATACACTGGCAATTTACTGTGACCTTGAAATTGACCCTTGACCTATCTTACGAAGAACTTAAATTTGATTGTACCATATATATTTTTTGCAAAAGTTTAAAAATTCTTGTTGATTGCATTTTAACAGCTTGTCAAGCACAAAACTGGTGGCTGTGTCCCTTATTTTGTGTATGTGGGGGTCTATACGAATGCGCTTGCTCCAGCTGGTGGTACAATATTCGGAGGCGGTATCGCCTCTCTGATCCTCTAGTTAAATGACAAGACTGACCGCCACTGACTGCTCCATGGTTACCTGTTGCAGTTCCTCAACACATGATGTGTCAGCATTATGTACAAGACAGAACTGCAACAGAGAGCTTTGGGGTAAAAAAGTTTGGAAGGAAATAAAGGACTATTGAAAAGATAGATTGTGGCAGTTGTGATGTCAAATGGTTTAGGAACTGAACATTTCAGGCTGGAGGCACTCGGGAAGTGAGATGTGAGTGCAAAGAAAAGAGTTTTTTATTTAGCTCTGTGATAAGTCAAGATTTTACCCACTAATGGGGAATGGATAAAGCCTTTGACTTACCACAGAACTTGATAAAAAACACTTTTTCTTGCATTCATGTCTCAGATCCCATGTAGCTCCTGCTTAAAATCTTCACTTCTTACACCTTTCAACATCACAACTTCCAGCACAACCAATCTTTTCCATAGTCCTCAATTAACCTTGGTGATCAGAGTGAGCATGTTTTGTCTTATCTTGTGCTTAGTTCTGTTGTTTCTCCTCAGTTTGCTTTAACATGAATGTTGTCAAGTGCTTCTTTTGATTTATAGCTCCTCCCACTGCCCAACAGCCCAGTCTTGGGGAGAAGCAGGAGAGCATGCCCAGCCTCCCACTCCTTATGGATCAGGCATTAGGTAAATGAGATTTGCACACAACCTAAGTCAGGCATGCATTCCTAGCCAAGTCAAGGCTGCTACTATACTTGTTAGATACACGGTATAACATTGATTTTAATTCTTGTGTAATGGGTATGATAGGCAATTATGTCACATTTGGAAGGTACTTAAAGGTTGCAGGGAGTGACACTCCAGAAAGTGCAGCTTCTGTAGAGATTGGACAAATGACATGGATTTGTTTATAGTAATATATTGCATCCAATTTAGAACTCTGTTGCTTTAGTTTACTACAATGAACAAGAAGCCCTGAAATTGAATAATATAAGATCATATATCATATGGGGCAGTTGTAAAATTGAAATAGGCACAAAATAGCCACACTTTATTGGGTTGTTGGACAATCCATGCAGTGAACATATTCCAGTCTTGGACTCATTATACATGTCCAGTTCCAGTCTACAAACAAAGTCAAAATACCCATTGCATGCCAAAGATGGAGTCGGGTTGAAATTTACAATACTTTTTCTGAAATTTTAATTTTACTGCTCTGTTTTTACTTTCAAATGTTGATATGATTTTGTCATCTACTAGTTTGAAATATTTTATTGGAATATTATTTATAATTTACCTTGAAAATGTAATAATTTGAAATGTATAGAAGGTTGAAAAGGGCAAACCCCAGTAACATCCCCATTCATAAACTATGCTACTGTACTTTACTATATATATATATATATATATATATATATATATATATACTAGTATGTGCTGTGCCCAGTATATATCTATTTAGTATAAGGATCTGTACATTAGTACATACTACATTTATCTCTGTACACAAGTACATACTGTATGTATCCCTGTACACAAGTACGTACTGTATGTATCTCTGGACACAAGTACGTACTGTATGTATCTCTGGACACTTGAACATATGCTATGTATCTTTGTGCATTCTGCTGTATGTATCTCTGTACATTAGTACTTACCGTATGTATCCCTGTACAGTAGTACATACTGTATGTAGTTCTGTACATAAGTACATACTGAACCAGTATGTATAGCTGGACACTGGTATACTGGTCATTTTCAGTCCAACATAGTGCAGGGAATCGCAGAAACCTGGGCGATAATTTTGATGAGCGTCTCAAGCCACACCACTTCACATTTGTGACCACAGTGGACAACAAGTACATCTTTGCCACACAATTCTGGGACAAAAGCTTCAGGGTCTTTCATTCGGACACTGGTAAACTTTTTTGTCATGCATATATTGAGTTTTTCTTGGTGATTTTATGTTATAGTCGAAATTTTGGGTTATGTGAGTGTGATACCTTCATATAGAGTAGGTTTTTTCGTAGCTTTTGCTTCTTATATGATAATTTATGTGGTTTTAAGTAATTGAACTAAGCTGTGAAATGATTTTATATAAAATGGATTGTGTGTTTGTGTATGATCATGTCGTTTACTGCAGTATGATTTTGGCAACAATATTTCATATTAGTCATAATATTTCAGCCAAAATCCAACAGGTTGTATTTGGTCACTTTGACGTTGTCACCTGTATCAGCCGCTCAGAATGCAGCATCAACCAGGACTGTTATATTGTCACTGGAGCCAAGGACTGCACCATCATGGTCTGGCACTGGAGCTCTAAAAATGCTGCCATTCTGGGAGACAATGGAAGTAAGCATACAAGGATTTATTTATTTAACTTAATTTATTGAAGGTAAAAACATGATAAACATCTTTATCTTAAAATTTATCTTCCCATGACCCTCATGAGGTTAGTAAAAGTACACAGGTAAAACATCTATTAAATTATTAAAAAAATATTAACAATTGGATCACATAATTGATCAAATTTTTTTGCTGTATGTATAACCAGTTCAGGTTTTGGTCTCTCTCTCTCTCTCTCTCTCTCTCTCTCTCACACACACACACACACACACACACACACTTTTCTTAATTTAGATGTATTGATTTCTATCCCCTCTCTGTCAGGTATTGCCCATCCTACTCCCAAAGCCACACTGACCGGTCACCACACAGAAGTGACCTGTGTAGCAGTGTCCACAGAACTGGGACTTGTAATCAGTGGATCAAAAGGCAAGTGATGGGCTGTTTAATTTCATTTCTTTTAAAGTAATAGGAATAAAATAACATGACAGCAAATTATTTTTTTACATGGTGCATTGCTTATTTAAATGGTTGCACCATTCTTACTTCCATTCTTGAAGAGTTGATAGACATGCATCTAAGCAAAAGAATTTGCTTGCATGATGGGGAGTCACATAAAAATACTCTATGGAAGTTAGTTGATGGTCACTAATAGTCCATCAGGAAGAGGGGTCCACCTGCACCAGGTGGTTGACCAAAGGTCCACTGTTATCAGGTGAAAGCTCATTTAATCAAGAATCAGTTTCAGCTTTCATTATAAAAAATGGTCATTATATAACACCCTGTTGCTCAATTGGCCGCATCTAAAAATGAGGGTAAGGAAAGGAACACATCCATATTATGAAGATAAGATAAGATAAGATAAAGCAATGATTTTTGTAGCATTGTTCAGCTGAATTATAGGTCTAAAGAAATCATTGAAGGGAGCTTTGTAATATTGAATGTCCTGTACTCAAGTAAAGTCACAGGTCACCAGGGGTCAAATTTGAGGCATTTTCAGGAAAAATAAACCAGTTAAGTTATTTTTTAAAGAGATTGTAAGTCAAGATTAATGCTTTATGATTATTTCTTATAAATTTTGCCCTTATTAAAGGGATTTGATTAGATTTGGCAGTTTATTATGTAGTATTAGAGATTTATGGAATGCACAAGTCCTGTAGGGGTGTTTGAGTCCATTTATGAATAACAGGGGCAGGGGAAGGAAATGCTCATCATTGGCTAGATTTGCTAGATGTGAATACAAGTTATGCTCATTTATTTTGCTTAAAAATTGCTTTAAAATTTTATATTATTCTGTAATATTGAAATTAAAGTTGAAATTAAAATTAAAGGGCAAAGATCACCCGAGTTCAAATTTGAGGCATTTACAGGAAAAATTAACCAAAAAATTATTTAATGAAGAGAATGGAAATGAAAAATTATGTTTTGGGTTATTTGTAATAACTTGGTCTATATTCAAGGGACATGATGCAATTTTGGCAGTTTAGTTTACATTATGAGAGATTTATGGATGACAAGGAGTGTTGGGGTTCAGTTATGAACAATGGGAGGCATGGTGGGGGAAATGCTCACCATTTGATAGCTTTGCTAGTTACGAATACAAATTATGCTCATTTATTTTGCCAAAGGGTAGCTCTTTTTTAAAAGACATCTTTTCTTTCCTGTTGTCCTGTAGATGGCCCCTGTCTGGTGCACACCACCAATGGGGACCTGCTGAGGTCACTGGAGCCGCCAAAGTCCTGCATTTCTCCCAAGATGCTCAGCATAACCAGGGAAGGCTACATCATCGTTAACTATGACAAGGGAAATGTCTGTCTCTTCAGTCTTAGTGGAAAGTTCCTAAGACATTCTGAACACAGTGATAACCTTTGGGTAAGTTCAGTGAGGGTGGATCTCGTTGCTTTTATGTGTTAGATATATGTTTTAAACATTACATTAACTGCAAAAAAGCTAGGTAATATTTTACTAAACTTTTTCTATGTTAAGGCCTAAATACATTTGTGAAAAAATAACATAAGAGTTTATTCAGCCCTTGATATAAAATTTAAAATTCACATGACGGAAATTGGGTTGTTATTCAGGTTAAATGTATAAAGTATAGTGTAACAATATAGTTGCTAAAAATATAGTTGCAAATTTTTTTTGTTGTTAAAATGAGAGACAGCAGATGGGTAAAAACTCTTTTTGTCAACTTTGAACATATACATTTCTCTTGCAAGTTAACAAGTGACAGAGTTCACAAAGGCAGATCATTTTATTAAGTAGAAATTTCTCTACATGTTTTGTCTGTAGTAAGAAATAGTCTTTATTGTGTGGGTCTATGAGGAAGGTCAGATGCAATGTCTACAAAGTATTTGTTTCTGATCATCGAAAGTTTTGCCTCATATGGCCATGGAATGGTAGCAGATACAGCAATTTCAACCGGTTTCTGTTTTGCAGCACATGATCTTGAGCCGTGATGGCCAGTACCTCCTGACAGCAGGAGAAAGGGGTGTGGTGGACATTTGGCGTACACATGACTTGAACATCCTCTACTCCTACCCTCAGTGTGACAGCAAGATCTGTTCCCTGGCTCTGTCACATGACCAGAAGTAAGCACGCTGAAGCTGAAATAACCCTGCTTTCCCGTGTTTGAGAGGATATATTTGTGGTTTTTGATAATGAAAGGTTAACTTGAAAGCAGTTTTTGTGTAACTCCTACCCTCAAGTCTAGCTTCACTCTTTACAGCACAGAACATTTTACCTGTCTGATTAATAACTAACTTAAAGACCTGGTTGTTAGTGTTTTTTGTTCACTTTTCCAGGTACCTGATGGCCGGCATGGGCACAGGCTGCATAGTGGTCTTCAACATTGACTTCAATAAATGGCATCACGAGTTCCAGGATAGATATGGATAGGTCGCCATGAGACTGAAAGACGGTGGCAGCTGTTAAAGAGTAGTGCTCATCCTTGGTTTACAATAGTTAACTTCCTGCACTTAGAGTACCTATACTGCATTGTCTTAATAGAGAAATAACAAAAGGTCAAATAATTCCAGTTTACTATCATGGGGAAACATAAAGACAGGATTTATTATTATTATTATTATTATTATTATTATTATTATGTTGTGACACCTATGAAAATTGGGAGAAAATATGTATGGAGAAAAGCATGTAAAATGCTTGTTGATATTCTTTTCAATTTTCCCTTTTACAGAAGACTTTAGATAATGCCATTGTGCAATCTTTCATCAGTGTGGTGCATTTGTTGATCATGATTAGGTGAGAGTTACACAAAAATGATTGAGCAATGATTGATTGGCAATGTAATGCAGTCTAACTGATGTCACTGTGCTTTCTAACCACCCTATTATCACACAGCATATCATGATTGAAGAAAACGTGCATTTTGGCAAATGCTGTGAGCTTTTCTACTGTAAACAAGGGGACCACATTTATCGGAAATTGTATTTTTTTTAATCGAGTGTAAAAACTTTGATGTTATCTCTTTAAGTGAAACCTGTTTATAAGAACCAAGTGGTACTTGGGACTTCTGATACTGCCATGTTGTTTCCCAAGAAGTTGTAGTGCAGTCACAGTTTGCAGTTATGACTAATGGTCAGTAATCTGTCCATTATAATCATGCATCTTTTTCTGATATTCCTCTTTGAAATGAAAAAGCATTGAGCAGTAATTACATTTGTGTATGAAATAAAGGTTGTGCATTTCAGTAGAAGCAAACTTAGATAACAAACCTTATAAACCCTGACAAGGCTTCTTTGTCATATTAATCTGAATTATGATTGAACATGTCCATAGGTGTCACTGTAATGGTGGCCAAATATTCAAGAGTGTATTTATATATGTACAGTAACAAGTTAACTGCACTTCCCATATTTTCTTGTTTAAATTTATTTGCTGCTTAGTTCAATGCCTTGTTGAACTCGATATCTTGATATTGTTCTTGATAGTTAAAACTAGACTGCAAAACTGGCAATATACAGACAGCCAACAAAAAAAGGAATATTACTAATATAAATGCCAAAAAGCAAAATAATCTAGAATGCTTATAAAAATTATATGATCATGCTCATCAATTAAAGCGCCCCAGTAAATTTATTATACATAAGTGTGATTTGGCACTAATGTAGCTAACATCACAAATATTTATCCAAAAACAAAGTATAAAAATTTGCGTAGAAATCTTATGATCAAGCTGGTTTTAAAACTGAACCCACAATTTGCTCAACAAAGCCACTAAATAAATTTTGAAAAAAGAAATGTAGTGAAGTCTTGCATGGGTTTTTGTTGAACCTGTTCCGACCATGGCCTTCCTGAGCAGTACACTGCCTATTGCCTTTGTATCTTGTTGGAGCCTGTAGAGCCTTTCCTAAAGTTCTATTACATATGTTTTGGTGTACATTGTTCAATGCCGCAAAGGAAGAAACACCTGTGATAACATTGCTTATACTTAGGATACTAATATTTCTCTTGACAATGTTTTTGGGATGACATATAAATTATTTCTGCTGTTATATTGCCTTGTGATGGTTAAACCAAGTGTTGTATTTTGTAATTTATGATTTAAGAAACGCTAGGACATGTTTTTCAATGTTCTAAACACTGTCCTTATTGAAGACATAAATCTTGATGTGCCCCAAGACATTGTCTCCACTTCTCTTATAAAGGATGTAGAATGGATCCTAGTAGTACATTTCTGTGATGTTGGTCAACCAAGTATGCATTCATTTATAGGAAATCTAATATATGAATTTTTTTAAAAAAATCATCAGAAGAAAGGGTGATATTGTCACAGGAAGATATTGAGGCATTGCCACAAGCATGGCTAGAAGTTGGTATATATTAACATTCCAGGCAACCCAAAGGGTATTAGTTTCAAGTAAAGTAGCCTTAGATAGAGTAAATGTTTTTTTTAATGCTGTGCATATTTGTGAAATGTCACCTATAAATGGTTAATGAACTTTCAGCTGCTAGAAAATGTTTATGTGAAAATAATTGTCAGACTAATTGCAGCAATTTCAATTCAAAATGAGCTTTTTTGCCACTATATTACTAATTGTTCATGTATGCAATGTCATTCATCTTGAAATCTGTTGCACTTTGACATGTTGGTTGAAGTCAATCCTGTGGATATGTAAGAATTGGTAGAAATATATTGAAGTGGGAACCTTAGTATTTTTATTACCATTCAGGGACACCGTTTAAAGAAAAATGATAGCATGTCATACAATTCAGCTTAGTATACTGTATATTGCTTTAGGGATCAGGTGTATGTGATTAACAATTTGTAAGTGGAACTGGGATATATAGTATATATATATATATATATGAGCTTTAGGATTCATATAAAAATGTGTTATCTTTTGGCTTTAAATAAATGTTTGTCATACTTAGTGAGAATGTTTTTTTTTATATTTCTGAATGTGTCACCTTTTTTTTTTAATGTCAGATCTCTGAGGACAGACAGACAGAGGGCCTGGCACGACACCTAACATGGACCTCCCTGCCATTTTTTTTCCCTCCCGATACTTCACAATTTGTTTTAAAATGAAGAGGGTCTCGTATCACCATAAAAAGTGACTTGGGAATTGGAATCATTTGGCAAAAAGGTGACCGTGGAGTACCAGTACCCCATACAACACCAGGGCATAATTATTTATTAATCTGGGCACAAAAGAGACGACTTTCATTATTCGAAATCTAAAAAAGAACAACAAACTATTTTGCTTCTAAGACTTTAATTTCTGAATGGGACATAAAGTTGAACTCAATATGATCTCTGTAAAGATATTTCCAATTGCAGTAACCATGTGCAATCTTGTTCCATGTCTCAAGACTTGGTACTGAAGTCCATAAAAATGAAATAAGCCACATGTACTCTGGAAGTGCTGTATTACTGTTAGGCTGAGAGGTCCAGCCAGTGAAACTCTCCCACCTACCATAAACACTGGATATGAACACTTCCACTTTGGACACACAGTCACTATTGGCCACAAAGCACTTAAAAGTCCTTTTTTCCAAGTGGAAAAGTGAAAAGTCCATAAAAGATTGTTTTAAAAATAAAATAAATAACAATTTTAAAAAATAATGTAGGTTTCCAAAAGGTGGTACTGAAAATTGCAGTCAGTGGCTATTTGCAAATTTAAAGAAAATTTTCCTGAGAAATCTTGATGTACCTACTCATGAACCCCACAGGTCTATCTGCTGGACCCAATCTTCTCTGTATATACACCTTGTCACTGTTGAGACTCTCAACAACCAAAGCTACCCAGTCTTCTGTATGGCAGTGACAGGTACAGAGTGTGGAGTTTACCTGGGAGATACCTTGATACAAGGCTCTGAGCAGTATCTGTGCAATATGTGTATATATACACATATCCATATGCACAAACACTTTGCTCCACTGCTTTACTTATGAAAAAAAGATCTTAAGAAACCTACAAATATAATTTGACTTAACTACTTTGTAACACTGTCAGTCATTGTGTCTTGAACGGTTCTTTCACTTCCAGTTTTTGACAAAGGAAACTGTGTTGTTGAGTAAATATACAGCATATGCATTTTCAGTACAATTACATTCAACTAGGACAAGTACAGGCAGAACACATTATCAAATCTACAGCTAGTAACACATCTGCAAATGTATTCAAATAAAGAACAGTAAAATTCAGTGGCTAAAAGCATGGTTATCAATTAACTGTCCAGTGTAGCACTCAGTTCAGAAGTTAGCACCTATATACTCTAGCACACAGACCCAATTCTGGCTTGGACACAATACAATCACAAAGTTTTTTTTCATGAAATATATTACTACAGTCTTGTCCCATTGTTCTTCAGAACAGAAAAACTGTACTCTTTCAACCATTCATTTAAAAGTTCAAGTTAAAAACAGATGTGTTACCAGCAATATTAAAGATATAAGGTAAATAATTTTCACTTAAATGTTGTAACAAAAAGATGGAATAATGAGAATGAATGACAAAAATAATTGAATACTGTGGATTACATTATGCTAAATACAATTGAACATAAAATAAGGACTTTTTTGCAGTATTATTTTGTGACTTTTGATCTTTTTTTTTCTTTTTCCAACCTCTCACAGACATACTATATGATTATCTAAACCTTTCAATCTCAGGGTATTATACATATAAAATGAAGAGCTAAAACAGTTGGTTTAAGTATATACAAATGTTAAGTTAAAATGATCTTGACTGTTCCAGTAGAACGAGTTATTAAATGAAACAGTTCTGCAGAATTCAAATTTACAAATGACAAAGTGGAATTCTACAGAACTTCCAGGCAAGATATCTTAGTTTACAGCCTCTCACAGAAGGAGAAAAGCAGGGGATATTTTTCCACACTGCTGTTTACACACTGTAGAAAGTCGTCACCAGTGCCTAAATCGTTTGCTCTACCAGGACACTTGACCCATATCTTCTATGGCGTAGTACCCCAGTAGACCAAATGACATGGAAAGACAGCAAGGTCATCAAGCTGTACTACATAAATAAATATCTAGGAAAATGTCACCCTTGTTCAAACCCTATGCAATATTACCAATTATCTGTCTGCTGCATTCTAATAAGACCAAGATAAAACTAAGAATAAATGAGATGAAAAAACTGCACTGAAGTGCAGATCAAGCTACTGCACCCAGTTCACTTCACTAAATGTTATATGTTATTCTGAAAATGCTCTTTTCAATTACTACCAATCTTTGCTGTTCTAGCTGTAGGAAGCAAACATTCACTTGATGACAACATACGCTACACTATAATGACATCTCTTTCAATTTCTGTTTAAATACAGCACATTCTTTATGTCACATCCACATTTTCAATTCCTCACACAACCTTTTTCATTTACCATAAACTACATTCATTAGACAAAATAGACAATAATCTCAAGTGTGGTACAGCAAAAAGATAAGCTTAGTAAGTTCACTTAAAACACCATAAAATAAGAAAGGCATTAAAATAGAAATAATAACAGTGCATCCATACAAAATACATTCATACACCTTTTTTCCACAGTATACTTACTTAACATCACAGTTTCCCTACATGAACTAAGTAAATCCTAATCACTAAGATGAGGAACTATTGTTATCTTTGCATGCCAACTCTTTGTTTTTCTTCTTAGTGCCATTACCATTGGTTACTTAACAGAAACAGCTTGAAGAGGAGAAGAGTTCTCATCTAGTTCTTGTCTGAACTCACTTCCACAATGACCCAAACTGTTTTCACCTTCTTCATTGTACAGTCTCTTGATGCTCTCAGACACATCTTCCTCATCCTCTAGTTGGTCCACTTTGCGCTTGGTGGCTTTGTCCTTTAATGTGGAGTAGATATAGACTGTGTTGATGTGCCGACTGGAGGCCAGATGACGGGAGATGATTTCACGACAACGAATAAGGTGGACGTTATCAACCTGAAGAAGAAATAGAACAAAGATGCAACAATGAATTCATTTTTCTTTGAAGTTAGGAGAAAAATGTAAATAAGTACAAGTAATTAAGCATGCAATTTTTAGATTACTTTTAAAAAAGAAATAAAACAAAACCCCCCTGGACCTCACTGAGAATATCTTACCTTGACTAACTGTTGCATCCTGACTGTCACTGGCAGCCAGTTGTTGGTGGCAAACAGTTCCAGTTCCAGGCTGACCAGGGCCAGTGCTAGTGTTGATGGCTTGAAGGCCAGCAGTTGGTGCTGAGCCAGGCAATGTTTCAGTTTCTGGGTCATCAAGGACAGCTGACGTGAGGGGGTCATCTGCATCAGGTTGTTCAGCAGATATGGGTGTTTGGTCAACAACAATGCATGGAACTAAGAAAATAATATTACCATGAGTAAAGGGTGAAATAAACAGGAAAGCAGACAACAAAATTGGAACATATATTACATAGAATAATAATTTATGCCACAACCAACCACACTACTTATAACAAGCTTATAATTTGTTATTATGGAACCACCAAGCAATATTAATGATAAATATAATAAGGGATAGAAAATTTGTAAAGTGCATTCAATGGCGAAAAGAAGGCCAAAGGTCAAATTCAAGGTCACGTTAAGATTAATTTTATTGTTTTTAATCAGCACAAAAATAGATTCATTACTGAATAATTAGATGCAGGAAAAAAACTCATTTACGGTATTTGGGTGATAAAAAACCCTTACAATACCCTTTAAGTAAGTATTCCAAGGTACTGCAGTTATCAAAGACACAAAAAGATGGAGGAAGCGAGAAACACAAACGATTAAAGATCAAAAGAAATATGCATATGTATAAATTATGCGGGAGTTAAACTAATAAAGAATACAAGTCCTCTTACTATGTGCAGGAAATCAATGGCTGTAACTGTCAGCAAATCCCAGTGTAGTTTGTCCAGTATAATCCTCTCCATACGTAGGACCTCAGCCACAGTGCAGCCACTTTGACTGTCCACCACATAGTCCAAGGAACCAGGAATTACCTGTAAGATCACCATTAACATGTCCAGGGTAATAAAATCATTAAAACTGAGCAAGATAAATGGAATACGTAATTCTATTTTGATCTTAGCGCTGACTTAATAAAGCCCCCTTTACACTGGATGGCTTCCTTTCTGCGTCCAGCAGTACGGCCCCATTTGAGAGTTAAAGAAGTATAATACTTTAGGTGCCGACAACTGGCCGATCATAGAGCATTCATTCTGATACAAAATCAATGCTCGTGCCTCCTTATTAAGACCACAGCGATGCCAAATTTCATGGTCGCAGAAAGGATGCAGAAAGGACGCCGTCCAGTGTAAAGGGGGTATAAGCATTCTTGCCTATCCTTACACATTCTTCTTTTCATCTGGATTTATCTCTGGTCCACTGTGAGCGCATTCAGAACATTGGACTAACAGATCTGTGGATCAAATATGGCGACCCACTAAAAAAGCTTGCTATCTGTTTCTCCAATTAGACACTGAACAGATTCCGCGTGAGGATTACACAACAGGCATTCAAGTGGGTCGGCCATATTTGATCTTTGGATCTGTTAGTGTGCCGTTCTGAATACACTATATGAGAGGACATAACATGTAATTATGCTACAGGGGGAATTACTCTTTTTCACAAAAGTTCTCCAAAATTTCTCTTCCTGCTTTATAGTTACTTAACAGGCAGTAACAAGCACCACATCCTCACAAACTTCAGTTTTCCAAAATACTCTTTTTCCCATCCTAGTTTTCCTTGGAGTGTATCCTTACCTCGTCTTCCTCCAAAGTTTTGGCAGCTAAATACAAACAGCTAACAGCTATACACTGAGCATACTTGGGGCGGGCCTAGAATCAAGAAATGTTCAAGCTAATTATCTTTCTATTTTTTTTTGTGTGTGTACAAGAAAAGCCAATATGTCCACAATAACATAGCATGTATAAAGTTCAAGTAGAGTAGGATGGTATGGGACCAGAATGTCAGTAAGGTATTATGAGGTACAAGATGTAAGATTTATGTCACACAGAAGGAACTTTTTGGGAGCTAACATTTGACATGCTTTTTAAATTTGTACCCAGCATTTTATTTATTTATTTATTTATTTATTTATTTTCTTGTTTGACAACAGTTCAAGTTAAGTTGGTGTGGGGAGAGATTAAAATTTGGCCATTGTGTACAATATCCCCTTACCTTCACACACTGCAGAAAACGATCCAAAAGACTGACACCAAGTGCAAATGTTTCAGGATGGAAGTGAAATTTATCACTAAGTTTTGTTAACCATCTCACCATTTCATCTCGCTGTTCTTGGACAACTTCTGTTTCCTAAAATGTATATGTTCATTAAAATGTACATGTTCATTAAAATGCATGCCACTAAAATCAAGGCATTAAAGTTGTCAAATGCACAGACAAAAAGCAAAAAAATGATGCACAATATATGCTGAAAAAAAAATTGCTAAACTTAGCAGAAAAAAAGCTGATTTTCCAACTGAAGCAGTATTTTAGTCCAATGAATCTTTTCTGAAATTTTGAGAATTATAAGTTTTGTTCTTAATGGTCATTATGGCAACTGTGCCCAAAATAGGGTTTTCTTGGACTTTGATGCAATATAACATAATGCTTAACAGCATAATCACCAACCTTTTTGAATAAAATAATTAATGTATCATGGATATTAAAAAAATTTGACTAGCAAAAGTCTTCAGGACTATGGAAGTTCAGTCACACTTTGAAAACGCCATGATGTGAAAATGAACATTTCACAAAAAATGAATAACTTCCAGAAAAAGACACTAATTAGAACCGTTTTCCAACTCAAGCTGTACTTGAGTTCTGTTTCTTTTTTGGAAGTTTAAAAATAGTAAATGTCATGATTTTCCTTAAATGGTCACTATGGTGGCAGTGTCCAAAATAGAGTTTTCTTTAATTTTGATGCAATATTACATAATGCTTCACAGATTAATCACTACCAACTTTTAATCATCTACTCTACGTAACACAGACATTCATAAAATGTAACTACAATTTTGCTTCATGCCCGTAGCAATTCTAAGTCTCACAATTAAAAACCCAATATATTAAAAATGAAAATTTCTCAAATAACTGCATAGCTTCCAGAAACAGTATGCAATCAGACTGGTTTTTCAAAAGGCAATAAATGTCACAGGTGCACACAGGTAACTGATGACATAATAATCTAGCCATTGTATTCCACCTGCAACAGAAAAACTCTGATGGCTTCATCATTTCAGATACCAGTACAATGCTTCTTACTAATTTGTTTTTACAATTGAACTTCTGTCAATACCTACATTTTTCTGCTGTGATCTGCCAGTATTAGGCTTCCAATAGCTCCTTTCTTTGCGAAGGGCCTCCTCAAGCATGTGCAACAGCTGCATGCTGCCCATATCACTATGAAGTCTCATCCTGGACACCCACACACCTCCTCGGCCTCAGAAACTGCAGCAGAAACATGAATATTAATTCAATGACCCCAAGCAAGGCACATTTAAATTAAGAAATTTTGAAAATAAAACTAAAAGACAAGTCTCAAAACTAACTTTTGAACATAAATGCACTGGTCCTCCCAAACCCAATATACAAACTCTGGGCCCTAAAAATTTTATATTATATAAGCTCTTGGCATTTGCTGCCAAAATTCTTAAAAGAAATATTGAAAGATACAAATCAATCTAATCAAACTATTTTTTTTAAACTGGTACTATATTTAAAACTTAGGAATCATATCTGTAACTTAAAGAATAAAAAGATATTTTCTTAAATAGTGGTCACAAGTGTACAGCAACAGTACAGGCGATGGCTACATATCTAGCAAGTCTGTTCATAAAAAGGCATCGTTTCCTTAAAAGATAAATATTTAAATCATGGAAGAGAGATCCAAAATGATATAAAACAAAAATAAGGACCTCAAAATAAAATATTGAATTGTCCATGAGACAAGGTCATTTCCACGAAAAATGTAGCCTTTCATGCCATTTTCTCCTCCCCTTTCAAAGTTTAAATGTATTTATTCTTTTAGTCTTACATGGTCACATCTTTTGTTGAAGGTAACACATCTATCACAGTTGTTACTTGACTTGACATATGCAAATGTGTCTTCTGATAAGAGTCAGAGGTACGATTCTATAGATATGACACTGTTAATATTAATCAGCTTGGACATAGAACAGCATTAATTACCAAAAAATAAAAAATAAATAAAATAACAAAAATAAAATGAGGTCAGTTTTCCATATTCATGTGTCCATAATTCAGGGCATATAAACCAGACATATATGCTCCTTTTTCATAACACGGCAAGGCTTTCTCCAGAGAGTTGCCCTTCCTGATTTGGATGGCCATTGGCCTCAAAAGATGGCCCATATTTTCAAAGACGGTTGTACAATTTACGCAATTTTTAGGAAATTGATGGGATGGGATCCCTGAAAATTGATGATGAAATTACAGATTCACAAAATGGACTACTAGTACCTGTACCCCAAATCCTGAAGAAAGCTGCACTGTAACATGGAATACTTTGCTCCTGTTATTCAAGGTTTTAACTTTTGATATAACTGTCTTATTGACTTAAATCTTTATCTTTTTGATACCTTTCATATAACAAAATAGATCCTACAATTTACATTAAATTCTAATTTTAGGCCCGACTTTCCTGATCAAAGTCACCACATATATGAACACTGAAAATCAAAACCACAGACTCTCACCAGTTGGGGGAATATTGCAAAAGTATCCAAAATGATTTTAAAGATAACCATTCTTTCGTCATTAAAAAGACATCGAATAACCATAAACAGAAAGAGAGAAGTCGAGAAATGTCATTTCTGACCTACTTAGTTATAACCTGTCAAACTTGCTTAGTTAAACTAGTATTACTTACCTCCCCGTTCAAACGGTCTCTATTAAGGAAAATGGCGACTAAGTTTGCCATAAACGCGTCTTCAGTCACTTTTTACAATCTAGTCGCTTCCATGTTTGACTTTTCCCTGTAAAACCTCCAAAATGGTAGGGAAATTTTAAAGGGGTAATTTTCGTGATGGGAAGTGTTTACAAAATGGCGTCGTAAGTTGCGTCGCCAGCTGTTGAATAGATTCTTCCGCTCAAAAAGGTCGTTTTCATTATAAAGATAAAAGAAGGAGAAATTTGATCAAAGTATATCTTTTATTTCACAACACTATAAAATAACAATAATAAAAATTTTATATTTACTGGGGTATATTTAAATGCAGACTGAGTAATCTACGACTTATTTTTTGATAAGTGCCCCGGTGTAGGCTGAAAGATGTGATGCGGTGGTGAAAGGTCGACCCAGCTGTCAAAGGGGGAATTTTTGACGTCTAATTAATTGTAAACGGGTAAGCATTACAGTATGGAATTCAAGCGATATTAAAATAAGAACAAGGTTATTTTGTTTTATTTTATTTAAGTTTTTGATGTTGGGTATAAGGGAGATTTGGAAATTTGTTTGCGGTGGACCACAGCCCAATAGCGTAACCTAAAAATAAAGCAGGCCATGAAGTAACCAATAGGAAGGCGTCGATAGGGATTAACTTTAGGCGGACTCTTCAAACGTAGACTTCACAATCACATCAGCTGATGAGGCACCTTTTTAATTTACAACGTATATTTTTGTAGCACGGCCTAAAATGAACATGAAATACTGATTAGAAAAGTTGGTAGTGAGCCAGCGGGGAGTGTTGGAGGAGAGGTATGGGCCCGATTTCATTGGAAATGAGCGAGAAATTGACTGAGGAGAGGATGCAGCAGGAATGTCCAGCAGAGGCGAGACCCCAAAATCTTGCACAGAAAGTGAAGGCAAGTTCATGTTTTCTCAGATGCTTAAAAGTGTTTTTGTCCAATTCATTCGATATTGTTGATTTTATCATTGAGATACTGGAAGACCTGTTGTTTTTGTGTTAGATAGCATGGGGATTCCAATTTACAGTAAACTTTTATTTGTCAAACATGATGGAAGATATAAATATTGATAACTGTGATCAACTGCTTTTGTTGTATTTCAGAAGACTATGATCACATCAAAGAGGATGGAATTGTGGGAACAGCTGCAGAAAGCATTGTCTTTGGCAGTGAAATACAAAGCAAAGGTTTTAGAGACAGGAGATGGTGTAAGTGATAAGCCTTGCTTTCCATTCTCCTTTTCCTGCTTAGGCAGTACAAATATAAAATGTCTATGCATCTGACCTCAGTCACTGTTAAAAAGTTTTTTAAAAGATAAACTACATATATGTGGCATATAACAAGCAATAGAGAGTTTCCAGACCCATCAGGATACTATGGCTGGATTGGTTTATATATATATATATATATATATATATATATATATATATATATATATATATATATATGTGTTAACATAAACAGTAACCTGCTATAGCATATCAGTTCGTGTAATGTTGGTTGACTAAAATGAAGGCAATATAAATTAATAATATTTCATATTATCCCATAACTTAATTATTATTGCTAATTTATTAGTGAATAAAGTAACAATGAATTACAGGAGCAATTTAGGTTATCCCCCCCCCCCCTCCCTGTCTGGCTTAATAAGAAAGTGACAGTTGTACTAATTACATGCATGCTTGAACTGTTTTAAAGAGTATATTGGGTTTTTTGATAACCTGCTGCACTGACTAGATACAAGCTTGTGTATTTGGCAGACTTGATTCAACTACCAGATGTGAAAGCAGTTAAAGGGATAATAACTCTAAGTTTTGGCCAAAAAATGAATTTTCCTGGAGTAAACAACAATTTCCATACTTACCAATGGATAATGAATCCATTTTTACATTCAAAGTTAGTCCCTGGTTTTTTCTAAAAAGTTTCTTTTTTTTTTTTGGTTATAATCTCTTTTATATATAAAATAGTAACTTTAGAATTAGAAAATCTGCCAAATGTTGCATTAATTTTGAATTTAGAGAGAAAATTAACTTGATTAGTTTTGTTTTGACTTTGGGACATTGCAATACATTTATAGTTACTGTACATACCTTTACTCATATGTCATCCAGTTGAAGAGGGTCAGTCCATCCCAGCGTGACTCTTCTGTGAACAGACTGCGCTGTCTGCATAAGTTCTATGACTTCAGTCCTGAAACTCTGGCTTTGGCTGTCAATCTACTGGACAGATTCCTGGGGAAAGTGAAAGTAAGTATGATATATGCTCAACCAAAAAAGTTTGGAAACATTGTTACTTTGAATAATTATAACTTATAAGATAACCTTATAAGCTCAATATTTTAACCATATATTGATGGATAATGCAACCAATATTTGTTAATTTTTTATATACACCGAGGATTTTCCTACAATATTACATAATTTTTTAATTATTGAAAACAATTTCATGAATCCTAACTTTTTTGGTTGAATGTATATAGTTTCTTTGTGTTTCTGTGTGTGCTGTTTCAGCTATTCTTGATTACGGATTAGGTTGGGCCACATTTCTGTGCTAATAGCGCATGGATTTAGCAAAAAGCGCAACAGGTTTATTGCATACGTGCTAAAAATAGCTCATTCTGATAAAAGCTGTACTCCAATACAATGCCATTATTCCAATCAGAATTGTAACCTGAAATAATTTCATTTACTATCTTTAATATAATAAAACCATAAACTGACAGAAAAAATAATTGAAGGTGATCAAACACAAGTCAAATTTTATAGCGTTAATGTCGGATGTAGGCCACATGCTTCTAAATTAGCTGGACAACATCACCCTGCTGCTAAAGGACTGTTGAAGAAAGTAGACTCTGACTTATTTATTAAAACCAAGTATAAGATGATGGAATGTCTGATACCAATCATGCAACTTAGTCTTTTCTTTCAAAAGAAAGATGTGGATATTGGAAATGAATAGTTATTTGTTAATTTTTTAATTTTTTGTTATTTTGCAACTTTTAAAATCAGCACTGTAAACAATAACAAAAATATAAAATTTATCAGGAAAATTAGTGATACAGGGCTTTTTTTTTTTTCACTGTTACATTGAAAGTAAGTAGGATGGAATATCTGCTTTTGAATATCATGAGCAGCTTTGAAAGAAATTCTCTAGAGGCACTAAGGGTTTAAAATTGTATTAATTTTGATTTATATTGGGGAGACCATTACCAAATCAGCAGTGTTTCTTTCATGTAGGGTCCGCGCCATATTTGATCCGCATATAAGTAGATCTGAGGATTCTCTGTTCTGAATGGGCTCTTAGTCTGCAGATCAACTTGTTCTTGAAGCATCCAAAAACTGATTGCGTACCTCTTCAGACCAATTGTTCAGTTTTGATCTGAAATTGCAGTTTTAAGACCATTTAAGGTGCACTAGTGGTAAATACTACTAACAATTGTTTGCCTACTTAAAGGTATCTGTGTTTTTTTTTTTTTTTTTTTTTTTTGCATGCGTATCGCCATGGATTTCAGAATCTGTATCACAGATTTTACGTGTAATATTACATGGCCATCACAAGGATTTTTCATGTGAAATACTATGTAGTTACATCCAGTTCACTAAGATATCTAGTCATGATAAATTTATTTTAATAAGACCTGGAAAAAGTGGTCAAATATCTGAATGTCTGGCTTTGAATATGGTCAGAAGTAGCATTTGTAACAAATTGTAGAATGAGACATATATCAGACATGCTTTTTCTGCAGAATCATGGAACTCTTAGAATTTTGATTCGATTCTTATGGGACCTAAGGCAGACCCGGATCCTAAGTCGATTAACTATTTTGTCACATGGTAAATGTTGGGAGATTTTTTTTTTTTTTTTAACCTAGGCTCATATCTGCTATATACTGTATTGACTTAACACATATTGTCCTCTCTTCCAGGCACATGTCTGCTATATACTACAGTGATTTCACAGACATTGTCCTCTCTTCCAGGCTCATGTCTGCTTTATACCACAGTGATTTCACAAATATTGTCCTCTCTTCCAGGCACACCCTAAATACCTCCACTGCATCACGACTAGCTGTTATTACATTGCTATCAAAGTATTGGAGGAGTCCCAGGTAAACTGCAGGCTGATTGTACTGCCAGCTTTTAAAACCAGATTACATGTTCATGGTCCACCAAGTATAAAGGTTGAATGCCTCTGTAATCATAGGGCATAATGCTCTTGTAATTTTCATGGCAATTAAGGCTGCTATCAGAAGACCACTATTGCTTAACATTTAAATTTGTTTTAATTCTGTATTCAGTCTGCTAAGCTTATTACAAAGTCCTGTTAAAACAGACCCCAGTAATGTATATCAGATAAGATGGATCAAATAGATGCTGTTTGTGTATATATATATATATATATATATATATATATATATATATATTACATATATCAGAAAATTATTGATCTGTGTTTGAACTTTGCCTGAGTATGAGCGATATTGAAAACTGATGGGATCATTTGTGTGTTGAAAGTAGTTGTTCTTGCTAATGTTCAGGACATTCCTTCCTCTACGGGCCTGATATACATGAGTCAAAGTGGCTGCACTGTGAAAGATCTCATTCGCATGGAAGGCATCATCCTAGGTAAACTCGGCTGGAATCTACATGCCTCTAACTCTCTTACCATTTTGGCAAGGTTGTTTGATATATTAGCTGAGAGATTTCCAGATCATCTAGATAATGTGCTCTTACATATGGTGATTGCCAGATTAGAAGTTTGCATGGGTTACTTCCAGCTTATAAAACATCAGGTGAGAATTGGGATACTAAAATATTGAATTGTCACTTTTTAATAACTATTTTAAACTTATGCAAGTGTAATACTCGTTTCGATCTCCAGGAATGAAATTAGTATCATATTTTTGAAAAGAATTTATAGATTTAATAAGATGGATGTTAATGCTCATTAAGATGCCATATATTAGACATACAGATTTGGCCTACCCACTTATTAATATGGTGTGCACCATTAGAATCTTTGTATGCCTTACAAATTAAGAATTACAAACCACTTAATGTTTAAAATTATGAATCTAAGACTGATTAAGTTGTATGTTAAGTCCTGCCAATATGATGTTTTCAGGCTGCCACCACAGCCCTGTCTGTGCTAAGTTGTGTTCTAGAGGAAACCCAGATAGAACCAAAGGATCTCTGGGCAGCTGTGATAGAACTGCAGATATACTGCCATGTAAGAAATAGCACTGTTTATTCTATGTAGGGCCCACCAAAGCACAATATAAAAAATTGGTATTCTGCCTTTAACCAGTACAGTGTACTGCAAAACATTGCATTTGTTTTGTTAAAATTGGTTTGATAGACATGCTTGATTTACTGCATGCATCACCTGTTTTCTGCATGATTCACATGGTGTCTCATCAGTGTAAGAGGGGACATTAAATGAGGTTGCCATCTCAAATTAACTTGAAACACGAATGTGCAAGAGAATTTTCTGAAAATAAATTGGAAACAGGTTGTCAAAAGTTAATTAGTACCCAGATTAAATGTTTTTATGTATTGTGGGCTGTTGTGTCTTTACATAATTCAGCCTTAAAAGAAATGTTTAAATGCTGTGTTTTCTGTATGTAAGTGATCATGTTAAAGTTCTAGTCTTTTATAGCTCGATCTAAGGTTATTTCATTGAAGTGAACAATAATTTGCAAACATTTCAGAACTACCAAGATGTGTCACTTTTTTTGAAGAGACATTGACTTTTATTTTTCAGATAAGTGACTGTGATTTTATACACTGCCGTGGCTTGGTAGCAGATTACTTGGACCTGTACTACAGCTGTCCCCCTACTACCCCCTTGTGGCGTATATCTCACAAATCACATTCCTTTGACAAAAGGAGACCAGGTACTTATTCTTACACTGACCTTCCAAATATCACAGAGGGGGACAGCGAAACAGAGGGAGCAACTGAGTCAGGGGATATTGAAGTAGAGGGAACCAGTGCGTCAGAGGACAGTGAAGTAGCTGCTGAGGAGGAGAAGGAAGAAGGTTGCCTCACTGGGGACAGTGGGATGGAATGTGAAGGGTAAACCAAGATTTAATACTTCTTCACTTGTCATTTGCATTGTTTGAATACATCTCCTCCAAGTGAGATGTTAATTGAGTTTTCATCTGGTTGGGGTCTTGCATAAGCAATTCACCTAGGCAGATGTGTCTGTACAGAAAGCGTTCACCTGCGTCTGTCATCACCATTGCCGTGGGGGTGCACTTTCAGTGAAAACTCTTAAGTTCAAAACTGTTTTACCTTTTATCTTCAAACTTATTGAACCGTTGAATATTTATAAAGACAGGTTGAGTTCGAAGATCAGGCCATTTTTTGAGAAGTTTTTTTTTTCTCGCCTCTGATCATGGTAGACATGGCAATGTTTAAAAAAATGAAAAAAAAAAACACGATATAGCAGCTTAGACTGAACGGTGATCAAGCATGATACTGTTAAGTTGAGATGACTTGTATTATTCACAATGGCGAGATACCATATATGAAAATTCACAAAACAAAAGCCAGACACTTTTGCTGACCGATCCCCTTCTTCCCCTGGGTTTTTTTTTCCCCCTTTGGACTTGCAGCTGATGAAGGTCGCTTGTTGACCGGAAAGTGTTTTCTGTAACCAGTCCACCCTTCCCCTTCCCCTGACAGGCAGTGCCACTACACTGCCGTGTCTAACACAATCAGAGGTGAGATGCCTCAATTGTATCAATCATGGAATGCCCTTTAAAGGGCACCCTATATATCAGTACGGAAATCTCATACTATGTAGGCGATATACCTACATTTCTATCAAACACATCTTTTCTCATTATAAAGGCAAGAAGACTAATACACTCTAGGAGATCTATACAAACTTACCTGCAAACTAACAAAAAGTGCCAATATATCCTCCATTACACATACTACAAGATAAAATTCATTTACTCAAATAAAACAAGATTTGTAAAGTTTTGTGGGAGAGAGAGTCAGATTTTCATGTTACACCAGTTCAATCTAAATAGCTAGTTCCACTTATGCCTGCCACTTGATTGAAAAACAATTTGTAGCCCTGACAACAAACTGATTACTTGAAAGCTGCAGACTTATCTTTTGTAGTCTTTATTTCGTTAGCAGTCTGTACTGCTAGAACATGTTAGAGTATTATTAATTAAAATTCAGTGGTTAGGTCCTGTTACAGTGTAGTTTTATTCAACTTTGATGCAGATTGAGATTTTTTTTATATAAAACCCGGCTCGTGTCTGTTTATACAATTTCAAATTGAACGATTTATTTCTAAATGTCTGACCAGCTGATTTTATTTGAATAATATTTTGACAAGTATTTGATATAACAGCAGCATGTTTAGTAGATGTGCTCTTGTTCATTTTCCCTAGCTTGACTCCACAGTCTCCTCAAAAGCCTTTTAATTGCATTTTTTATAATTTCTTTTTCTTACTAGGTCCACAGACACCAGTTTCAGTGAATCAAACAGTGCACAAGAGAACTATGAACAAAACAGTGAAAAATACTTCCAGATTTCCAAGTTAACCTCCAAGCTGCAGACCTTGCCTGGCTCTCTATCTCAGTCACGTTTGTAGCCAGAACTGGCAACTCAAAACGGACAGTGACTTAAAGATAAATGTGTAGAAACAGGAAATGAGTTTTGTGGTAGTTTTTAATTTGGAACTGGAACCATTTTAATATTATGAGCAACTACAAGTTACCTTTTGGTGTCAGTTTTAAAGAGCCATTGTTTGTTAAACTTGAGGTATTTTCAGTTCCCCCACAGTTTAACTGATGCTGTGTATTCACTTGAGAGTGACTTTACTGTGTTATAGGCAGAAAAGAAAATTGACCTTTTTATGTGAAGAAAACTTACCAATACAAGTACTTACAGGGACAGCAGGTTAAAGAGTGTGCACCTGCCATTTCATTTGTCATAGTATAGCTACATGTGAAGTTTTGGCAGTTTGGGAGGCATCTTAGGTAATATTGTCTGAATTTGTCTAATTTCCTTTTAAGATAGCCTGTATTTATCAAGTAAAATGCAAGTAACACCAAGTCAATAATTTGGGGTGGGGGTGATTTTTTTTCTAATTCCATGGATTTATGATTATTATTTGTTCACAATCACATTTATGAGCATTTTTTAATTTGGAAAATTCTGGCTTAGTTCAAGTGCAGTAGAATCATCTGTACGGCTAATATACAGGTCAAACTTTTATGCATTGTTACTAGAACATGGTAGACTTTATTATCCACAACTATATTGGATATTGTCTAGTCTTCTACATTACACAGCTAATGATGAGTAGTTTTAAGGCTTTAAATGTCAAACATTGCTGTAGTTTTAATTTTAATTGGGACCAATTTCTTTGATGTAGCAAATTGTTATGTTTGTAGTCTTAATATCCTCATTATTTTCAGCATTGTAAATGTATTTTTATTGTAAACATTTTAAGTGGCCTTCATAATTGATGGGCCAGCAAAAACCAGCTGTGTTCAAATTAAATTATATTTTATAACTAAATATAGAAGTTTTAGATTTTGTATTGTAAATATAAGGTATTCAGAATATTGCATTTATGACTTCTTTGCTTTCATGCCATATATATATCCTCTCAGGTAGGGCTGTTTGGTATAATATTATGTTATACATCATTCTGGTTAAAAGTTAGATTGTCATGATAGCAATAAAGAATTTCTGTCAAATGTTGGTCAACAGAAAAATGTATGGCCATTCAGCCTCTGTTAAGCACTGCATGTGCAGAGAGGTGTTCATGGGATTTTTTAAATTATATTTGATTGTACATATTTGTAACAAGCTCAGTAAGATTGGAGGAGTTGTGCTGTTTTTGTATTGAATGCATGTAGACCTAATGTGTTTTGTGTATTTTTATCATAAATAACGCTGATTTTGCATAAATAATGCTGATTTTGTATGACATTGGTTTTATATAATCTGTATGTTTTATTTGTATCAAACTTCTAATATAAAGACATGAAGGCTAAATTATTGTAAATTCTCTCAGATTAAAAAAGCAAATATCTGACCACTGCTGAGTATATATATATATATATATATATTAAATTTTTTTTTTTTTTTTTTTTTTTTTTTTTTTTTTTCATTTAACTGTATACCTTTGTAAATGACGTCTTTCTAAATGGCCTGCAGGGTTTACTCTGGGTATTCAATAGTTTATCATTCTAATCTCAATGCATAGAACCAGGATTCTAACACTTATGGTGTATTCTAAATGCCTATAGTAATATTGATAAAACAATTATATATTACAGAACCAGAATGCTAACAGGAATGACTGTCATTTAGTGAAAAAGTTGTAATATATGACCTGAGGTCCCAAAATGTTGGCTGATGGTTGGAACACTGTCATCCCTGTGTGTATGCAATTTCAGATGACAGCACTGAAATAAAAATGCCCATTCTTACAAAATTGTTTATTTCCTTAGAGCTGAAAATGCCTTAAATTGCACCTTAAATCCGTGAGAGTGACAGCTGAAATTTAGTGTCATTCAGTGCACCTGCAGGGTGCACTTTGTGGAAACGTTGAACATTTTAAAACAAATGTCCTATATATATATAAAAATATGTGAGATGTTACTATTTTGACACTGCACTCTCCTTTGCAAACTTTACTAAACTTCACCTCTTCCACAATTTTCTCCCATTCTCTCTTACACATACTACTCCATAATGCTTCAGCAGAGTTCCCCAGTACATCCTTACTTACCCCTCCCTTCCTCTTTGTTTATCGTTACTTACTCTCTAATAATTTAGTCAAAACCTTAGCCAGACAACTGCCAGCTGATTATGTCAGTTACACCCATCCATTTCCAACTTGACCTGTTTCAAAGCACTTTGCTAAAACCCTCTGTCCTACCTCCACTTGGATCACCTGGGTCTGATTTTCTCATAAAAAAACAATTGCTTAAATGGTTTTAAACTGTCACCTTGTAAAGTTTTACTTTTAATAAAATGAAACTGTTTCTTAGCAAATTCATAGAAATCATGTTCCATCTTCCATATGTTTGATTCCTGTATCTTAGACACTGTTTCTTCTGAGGGAGGTTTTTTATTTGTCGTTTTCCTGAGATGAGATTTTTCTCCTGAAATGTGAGGCAAAACCATCTAATTACTTATCGCTTCATATCATGTGCAAATTTTTGTAGAAAGACACATTTAACAATGAATGTTACTGTATTATGCACAAAGTTAAAAAAGGGGGAAAAATACTCAGACAAAATATCATCGATGACAGAATTAGTTTTGTATATTGAAAGAATACATTTCATACAAAGTTGTTTTAGTTTGTGCACACACAAGCCTTAAGATCAGAAAGTGTTCATAAAGCCTTCCATGCATTCCTGACTGAATTTATGAAGAAAACTGCTGGGTGGATTGGTAGGTTTCTGACTCACAATAAAACTTGTGCCATTAAAAGGTCTTGGCAAATATCAATTTCAAATGAATTTCTGTGAAACAGGTTTCACTGTGGTAAACATACCTGAGATAAACATATCAAGCGCTCCTTTAAACATCCTTGGCAGAGTGGCCTCCAGCACCGCCACAAACTCCTCCAGTTCTTCTGTGATGCCTACGACCAGGTAATTGTTAACTAGATTGTACTTGGCCATCTGGAGAGCCCACTCATTGCCAGGGACCCTGAATAATATTATATTTCCTTACTTTTTATCATTGTCCTTGCAATTATAATAACTAAATCTTATTGTCTTTAATCGTTTTTAATCGGTGCTCATTTTAAAAGAAAAAAACATCCATTTATCAGAAAAATTACTTTGCATTATTCTCCCAGGTAAGCTGTTAAATAGCTGCTCTTGATCCATTGCAACAATTATCTGGCGTCTGTCCACTGGAAACATCCAGCCAATAAAACACACCACACTTACCAACACTCTGCTGCATGTCCACAGAAGAAAGGAATCTGTAACCACAAGTTGACAGGATCACAATCATTGCCATCCTTGGCCACACACTGGTCAAATGTCTAGAAAACAAAATAGTTGCTGTCAATGACATTTTAGCTCATCATNGGGTTTTCATCTGGTTGGGGTCTTGCATAAGCAATTCACCTAGGCAGATGTGTCTGTACAGAAAGCGTTCACCTGCGTCTGTCCTCACCATTGCCGTGGGGGTGCACTTTCAGTGAAAACTCTTAAGTTCAAAACTGTTTTACCTTTTATCTTCAAACTTATTGAACCGTTGAATATTTATAAAGACAGATTGAGTTCGAAGATCAGGCCATTTTTTTTGAAAAATTTTTTTTTCTCGCCTCTGATCATGGTAGACATGGCAATGTTAAAAAAAATGAAAAAAAAAACACGATATAGCAGCTTAGACTGAACGGTGATCAAGCATGATACTGTTAAGTTGAGATGACTTGTATTATTCACAATGGCGAGATACCATATATGAAAATTCACAAAACAAAAGCCAGACACTTTTGCTGACCGATCCCCTTCTTCCCCTGGGTTTTTTTTTCCCCCTTTGGACTTGCAGCTGATGAAGGTCGCTTGTTGACCGGAAAGTGCTTTCTGTAACCAGTCCACCCTTCCCCTTCCCCTGACACGCAGTGCCACTACACTGCTGTGTCTAACACGATCAGAGGTGAGATGCCTCAATTGTATCAATCATGGAATGCCCTTTAAAGGGCACCCTATATATCAGTAAGGACACGGATACCTATAAACCTCATACTACTTAGGCAGGACACCTACATCTCTATCAAACACTATATTTTCTCTTTATAAAGGCGAGAAGCCTAATACACTCTGGGAGATACTTACAAACTTACCTGCAAACTAACAAAAAATGCCGATGTATCCTCCATTATGCATATTACAAGATCAAAGTCATATACTCAAATAAAACAAGATTTATAAAGTTTTGTGGGAGGGAGAGTCAAAGTTTCATGGGGGGAGTCAGATTTTCATGTTACACCGGTTCAATCTATATAGCTAGTTCCACTTATGCCTGCCACTTGATTGAAAAAAATGTGTAGCCCTGACAACAAACTGATTACTTGAAAGCTGCAGACTTATCTTGTGCAGTCTTTATTTCGGTAGCAGTCTGTACTGCCAGAACATGTTAGAGTATAATTAATTAAAGTTCAGTGGTTAGGTCCTGTTACAGTGTAGTTTTATTGAACTTGGATGCAGATTGAGATTTTTTTTTATAAAACCCAGCTCGTGTCTGTTTATACAATTTCATATTGAATGATGTATTTCTTAATGTCTGACCAGCTGATTTTATTTGAATAATATTTTGACAAGTATTTGATATAACAGCAGCATGTTTGGTAGATGTGCTCTTGTTCATTTGCCCTAGCTTGACTCCACAGTCTCCTCGGAAGCCTTTTAATTGCATTTTTTATCATTTCTTTTTCTTACTAGGTCCACAGACACCAGTTTCAGTGAATCAAACAGTGCACAAGAGAACCATGAACATAACAGTGAAAAATACTTCCAGATTTCCAAGTTAACGTCCAAGCTGCAGACCTTGCCTGGTCAGTCACGTCTGTAGCCAGGACTGGCAACTCAAAACGGACAGTGACTTAAAGATGAATGTTGTGGTAGTTTTTAATTTGGAATTGGAACCGTTTTAATATTATGAGCAACTACAAGTTACCTTTTGGTGTCAATTTTAAAGAGCCATTGTTTGTTAAACTTGAAGTATTTTCAGTTCCCCCCCAGTTTAACTGGTGCTGTGTGTATTCACAGACTTGAGAGTGACTTTACTGTGTTATAGGCAGAAAAGAAAATTGACCTTTTTTTGTGAAGAAAACTTACCAATAGAAGTACTTACAGGGACAGCAGGTTAAAGAGTGTGCAGCTGCCATTTCATTTGTCATAGTATAGCTACATAAGTGTATGTTCAAGCCAAAGAGGAAAGAAGTTTTGGCAGTTTGGGAGGCATCTTATTAGGTAATATTGTCTGAATTTTTCTAATTTCCTTTTAAGATAGCCTGTATTTATCAAGTAACACCAAGTCCATAATTTGGGGTGGGAGTGATTGTTAGATTTTTTTTCTAATTCCATGGATTTATGATTTTTATTTGTTCACAATCACATTAATGAGCATTTTTTAATTTGGAAAATTCTGGCTTAGTTCAAGTGCAGTAGAATCATCTGTACAGCTAATATACAGGTCAAACTTTTATGCATTGTTACTAGAACATGGTAGACTATTATCCACAACTATATTGGGTATTGTCTAGTTTTGTATATTACACAGCTAATGATGAGTAGTTTTAGGTCTTTTAATGTCAAATATTGCTGTAGTTTTAATTTTAATTGGGACCAATTTCTTTGATGTAGCAAATTGTTATGTTTGTAGTCTTAATATCCTCATTATTTTCAGCATTGTAAATGTATTTTTATTGTAAACATTTTAAGTGGCCTTCATAATTGATGGGCCAGCAAAAACCAGCTGTGTTCAAATTAAATTATATTTTATAACTAAATATATAAGTTTTAGATTTTGTATTGTAAATATAAGGTATTCAGAATATTGCATTTATGACTTCTTTGCTTTCATGCCATATATATATCCTCTTAGGTAGGGCTGTTTGGTATAATATTATGTTATACATCATTCTGGTTAAAAGTTAGATTGTCATGATAGCAATAAAGAATTTCTGTCAAATGTTGGTCAACAGAAAAATGTATGGCCATTCAGCCTCTGTTAAAGCACATGCATGTGCAGAGAGGTGTTCATGGGATTTTTTAAATTATATTTGATTGTATATATTTGTAACAAGCTCAGTAAGTTTGGAGGAGTTGTGCTGTTTTTGTATTGAATGCATGTAGGCCTAATTTGTTTTGTGTATTTTTATCATAAATAATGCTGATTTTGCATAAATAATGCTGATTTTGTATGACATTGGTTTTATATAATCTGTACGTTTTATTTGTATCAAACTTCTAACATAAAGACATGAAGGCTAAATTATTGTAAATTCTCTCAGATTAAAAAAGCAAATATCTGACCACTGCTGAGTATATATATATATATATATATATATATATATATATATATATATATATATATATTTTTTTTTTTTTTCATTTAACTGTATACCTTTGTAAAAGACGTCTTTCTAAATGGCCTGCAGGGTTTACTCTGGGTATTCAATAGTTTATCATTCTAATCTCAATGCATAGAACCAGGATTCTAACACTTTTGGTGTATTCTAAATGCCTATAGTAATATTGATAAAACAATTATATATTACAGAACCAGAATGCTAACAGGAATGACTGTCATTTAGTGAAAAAGTTGTAATATATGACTTGAGGTCCCAAAATGTTGGCTGATGGTAGGAACACTGTCATCACTGTGTGTATGCAATTTCAGATGACAGCACTGAAAAAAAAATCTCCATTCTTACAAAATTGTTTATTTCCTTAGAGCTGAAAATGCCTTAAATTGCACCTAAATAAATCCGTGAGAGTGACAGCTGAAATTTAGTGTCATTCAGTGCACCTGCAGGGGGCACTTTGTGGAAACGTTGAACATTTTAAAACAAATGTCCTATATATATATATAAAAATATAATGAAAAATGCCTCTATGTGAGATGTTACTATTTTGACACTGCACTCTCCTTTGCAAACTTTACTAAACTTCACCTCTTCCGCAATTTTCTCCCACTCCCTCTTACACATACTACTCCATAATGCTTCAGCAGAGTTCCCCAGTACATCCTTACTTACCCCTCCCTTCTCTTTGTTTATCGTTACATACTCTCTAATAATTAAGTCAAAACCTTAGCCAGACAACTGCTAGCTGATCATGTCAGTTACACCCATCCACTTCCAACTTGACCTGTTTCAAAGCACTTTGCTAAAACCCTCTGTCCTACCTCCACTTAGATCACCTGGGTCTGATTTTCTCATAAAAAAACAATTGCTTAAATGGTTTTAAACTGTCACCTTGTAAAGATTTACTTTTAATAAAATGAAACTGTTTCTTAGCAAATTCATAAAAATCATGTTCCATCTTCCATATGTTTGATTCCTGTATTTTAGACACTGTTTCTTCTGAGGGAGGTTTTTTATTTGTCGTTTTCCTGAGATGAGATTTTTCTCCTGAAATATGAGGCAAAACCATCTAATTACTTATCGCTTCATATCATGTGCAAATTTTTGTAGAAAGACACATTTAACAATGTATGTTACTGTATTATGCACAAAGTTAAAAAAGGGGGAAAAATACTCAGACAAAATATCATTGATGACAGAATTAGTTTTGTATATTGAAAGAATATATTTCATACAAAGTTGTTTTAGTTTGTGCACACACAAGCCTTTAGATCAGAAAGTGTTCATAAAGCCTTCCATGCATTCCTGACTGAATTTATGAAGAAAACTGCTGGGTGGATTGCTAGGTTTCTGACTCACAATAAAACTTGTGCCATTAAAAGGTCTTGGCAAATATCAATTTCAAATGAATTTCTGTGAAACAGGTTTCACTGTGGTAAACATACCTGAGATAAACATATCAAGTGCTCCTTTAAACATCCTTGGCAGAGTGGCCTCCAGCACCGCCACAAACTCCTCCAGTTCTTCTGTAATGCCTACGACCAGGTAATTGTTAACTAGATTGTACTTGGCCATCTGGAGAGCCCACTCATTGCCAGGGACCCTGAATAATATTATATTTCCTTACTTTTTATCATTGTCCTTGCAATAATAATAACTTTAATTAAATCTTATTGCCTTTAATCGTTTTTAATCGGTGCTCATTTTAAAAGAAAAAAACATCCATTCATCAGAAAAATTACTTTGCATTATTCTCCCAGGTAAGCTGTTAAATAGCTGCTCTTGATCCATTGCAATAATTATCTGGCATCTGTCCACTGGAAACGTCCAGCCAATAAAACGCACCACACTTACCAACACTCTGCTGCATGTCCACAGAAGAAAGGAATCTGTAACCACAAGTTGACAGGATCACAATCATTGCCATCCTTGGCCACACACTGGTCAAATGTCTAGAAAACAAAATAGTTGCTGTCAATAACATTTTAGCTCATCATGTCAGCATTACTAAGACTGCTAATTAAAAAAAAGAAAGCACAGGAGAGATCCCATAACCTCCAGCACATGCTTGTCAAAGAGCTCCACAAAAGATTGGACAAGCAACGTTGCAAGTATTAAAACAAAAACAGCCAAGTTACAACCTCTACCTCCTTATCCCCTTGTTTCCTCCTCTTCAGGTGAGGTCTAAAATCATCTCCAAACCTCATGAAGTAGTAGTAAGAAATCAACCTGTCCAGAGGATCTCGAATTATGTTGATGTACACAGGGCGGTCTCTTATACCAAACCTGTAAAAAATAATAAACAGATATATGTAGAAATAGATTTAATGACACATAACTTACACGAATGTCCATACAACTTTCAAGTCTTTAGACATGTTCGACATTTAAAAGTGAAAACCTTCCNCGGTCTCTTATACCAAACCTGTAAAAAATAATAAACAGATATATGTAGAAATAGATTTAATGACACATAACTTACACGAATGTCCATACAACTTTCAAGTCTTTAGACATGTTCGACATTTAAAAATGAAACACTTCCTCAGTGCTCTCTGTGTTATAAGGTAGTACTTGCAAACACTGATGTCAAATCATAACTGTGAAAAGTGATCTACCTGCCAAACTCCAGATAAGCCAGGTGGCCATGGTACAAGGCAGGCTTCATGCTGTTCCAGCGAGTGATGTTCTTCACAAACCTCAACTGAATAAGAACCAGAAGTTAGCATATGAAAAATCCTACCAGTAGATCTTCCAAAGTTTTTTTTAAACTATACATGTATGTAACAAGTTTAGCACTCCACTTCTATCATAACCAATTTAAAGTGATGGGCAGTTGCAGTTATTATTTTCTTTTTGCATAAAGTTGGAATCCAGCAGATGTTAAAAATGATGATTCTATGGCAGGGGAAAATACTGTGGAATGTTCCCAACACACATTTAATTCCAGAAGTCAATCCCAAGAGACAGGCTCACATTCAAGGCAAGGTGTGTGCTGGTTCACATCAGATAAACTCATGTGAAGTTCTCATATATAGTATTAATAATAAGTCAATTAAAATCATAGGTTGCTGTTAAAGAAATTTATAATTGTGAATAAAAACATTAAAAATATTTGTACATAATGTTCAAAAAGTACAGGGAAATATCAGTACACTTCAGATTACATATTCAGATAATCTAATAAAAAAGAAAAAAGAAATGAAACAAAGAGAGATGTCTACCTGGTCTGCGAGGGACATAGTGTGACTATTCTTGCTGACATTGAGGTGTAAAACATGGTATTTATTCCTAGAGCACAGACTGTATGCTACTCCTGCAAACGACGTACTGCCAGTCTTTGGAACTCGGTTGTAAATCACCACCAGGTCATCACTATCAGCCACAGCCATCTACAATGTGGCACAATAACATAACAAAACAGACCCCAACTAAAATAACATGATGACTATGTTGTTTGTACCACAAATATAAATACTGTATGGAAAAAGTTATAGTCCAAGACCCATCTTATATTCACTTAAATTTACAAAAGGATGATGGAAAATTCCTTTTTTAAACCCGTAATTTCTCAAACTCGTGTTCAAAAGCTGCCAGCTATAGTTAGCTTGTTCCTAAAGTCACATTCTCAGATTCAAACTGTCAGAGATGCATAATTTGGAGTATGCTAATGTTATGGACAACTCACATCAACATCAGCGTTTTCTACATCTGTCTGTTTCTTAAACTGTCCCCAGCTGACTCTGTCCACTTGGAGTTTAGCAACAGCTTGCTCTGAAATTTAAAATGATCATGTAGTACATTACAATAAAAAAACTACAAAACAGACATTTCTCACTTAGAAATATTTATGCCAAGAACATGATTAATCTTGGATCTGTATCATATCATATTATTATATGGATGGTAGAGCAAAAAGTCCATCAACTTCAAAATGAATCCATTCATTCACTGGATGGATGTTCATTTAAAGAACACTCCTTTGTAACATAACAGAAATATTATGTGGATGTCACTCACACCACTTAAACCATCATCTCCAGTACCTGTATTTCATCCAAGTTGCTAAAGCCAAACAAGGTAGGATTTCAAATGCATGAATTCTTATTGCATGGATTGTTTCATGTTGAACTTAGACGAGGACAATTAAAACTTTTAAAACATAAAATGACAGATAAATGGCTGTAATCAATATCACAAAATAATCATATTCACAGTCCCCTGTCCATCCTCAGTAGTCAGCCATCTTGACACAGTTTGAAAAGATCACAATTTACGGTGAGAGTCTCGTGATATCTGGAAGTCGAGCAAATTGAAATGAATGGCGTATGTGAAAAATCTGGGCTTAAGCATGGGTTTTGATCACTGGATTTTTCCAAAATTGTTATAAAATTGTTATGGCCATTGTCAGGAAAGGAAGATTAAAGGTTGGTAAATCCAAGAAAAATGTCATTAAATAATTCGTTAAATATGAATTTTGCTGCCAAACCCCTCTTTTGTGTGCCTTTAATGTATGTATTACAAAACAGTGGAACTGAGTGACCATTGCCTCACATCACACTCAGAGTCAAGTCTGCAAACTGAGACAACTAACTATTCTCTCTCTCTCTCTCTCTCGTGCCATGGTTGATTTGAGCCTCAGTGACCTATGATACCAGTTTCAGTGTCCGATTCATTTCTGTATCCCATATTTTTCTTTGTATGTTCATTTCTGAGTTTTTTTCAGTTGGTTTAGAAACAGGAGTCTTTGTCAGCCTCTAGTTTTTTTCCAAGGAATCTTTCTAGCAAGGATGAGATCCTCGAGTTAACCTTTTCTAATGACATGGCTGGTGAATTTTGTCTCCCCTTTATAATTATCAGGAGTTGTTGGTCTTATCCAACTCACTTGAGAACTGAGATAGTACATGAGCATTATATGAAATATGCAGCATTCGACAGTAAAACTACATCTTTGCAGCCTCTGTTATTTGTCGTTGCAGCCGAGTGTCCATGCCTCACTACCATACCAAAGTACAGACCATACAAACCATCAGAGAAGTCTAATTTTTAGGACCCTCTATATTCCCTGATCCTTCAATATTGCAGAGATTTGATAAAGACTAGTTTTTACCATTACTATTTGTCTTCTGATCAACTTTTCACACCTTCCATCTAACATCAATTGACCTGAGGTAATTGACAAAATGGACTTGTTCAATCAGGATTCCATACTAGATGACATGTTGGAGGTTGACTTTCTTTGGAGATAACCATACTACAGGTCTTCTTGTAGTTAATTCCCAGTCCTTTGAAACAGGCATCCCAAACCAGATCTAGGAGTCTTTGAGGCTTTCCTTGCTGTCAGCTATAAGTGTGGTATTGTCGGCATATCTGATTTTCTTGATGCACGTTCCACTGCTCAGTACACTGTCTTAAGAATAAGTATATGTCCTCAAGTTGTTGGAGTATATGCTCACTATAAAGATTGAAAATATCAGGGCTCATCACACACCCCCGTCACACACCATGGTTGATTTCAGTCCATTCAGTAAGGCCGTTCGGCAGTTTGATTGAACCCTTTTGTTGGTTGTAGAGATTACAAATGACCAAGTCGTCCTTGCCATCTAGTCCAATGCCATTGAGGCAACTATTAATATTATTTTATTAAGGATGGGAACATTGATTCTAACAGCAGCACCTTACCTAGTCTGTTCTTTGTCTTCTCCAACTCTTCTATCCTGCTGCTGATGACGGCATAGAAAGTGAACAGGACTGTCACAGCCACAGCGGCCGCCAGGAGTATTTGTTTTCCTTGCATTCCAAAGCGAAGGAAGCGCATCACATAGCAGACTGCAACCTGCTGAAAGAGGCAGCTAAGCAGATAAAAACTTCTCCGCCCAGGTCCAGACAAAGAAAGTGAAGGCCAAAAGCTAACTATCACGAATGGAAGACTCTAAGCGATCTATTTTCACAGGATGGACTTGTACGTTTCCCTGTCCAAGAATCTCTTTATCGCAGAAAGGAAAAAACCTGGTATGCGAATGGAGCAATTAGCCTGAGTGAAACAAGATAAGACATTTTAAAATTAACCTGAAAACAACGATAGTGAAACTCGATAGAGAAAAAATTAATGTTCGAAAACGCATTCATTTTACGTAATTATGTGATTGCTAAATATATCGCATATGTAAAGTTAATACAAATTAAAAACTTTTCATGTTAAATTTTATCTTTGCACATGTAAATTAAAATTATAAAACAGAGTATATTTTTAAATCTTTAAATGTGTTTCATTATTTCCTCCCAGGCAATTTTTGAAAATCCTGAAAGCATTTTTTTCTGCTATTTTTACACACACACACACACACACACACACACACACACACACACACACACACACTCCAGTGTTTATTTTTTAAACACTGGCATCTTTAATATGTGACTTTTAACTCTCATCCACCTGAGGCTCTGTTCATTTTCTGTATTTCCACATAAGCAGTACCATTATTATTTATGTCTTTAAACATTATGTAATATTATTTTATGCACTGTCACCATTTTTCACATATTGGGATTTTCATTATGTGAATTTGAACTCTCATGGTCCTGAAACTGTAGCCTAATCTTATTGACCATGTTACCTGTTGTGCATGATTAAATTTTAGTGTTGATTGACTTGTGCTGTTATAAGCATTATTTCTTATTGCATCAATATGGCCTATTTTCTGAATCTTTATTTTCTGCTTTTGTCAGTACATTTGACAGATTTGCTGCCTTGTTTTCACATTGAACTTTATATTTTTGCGTCTACATCTGTAGCGGTGTTTTAAAGGGTCATGAAGTTACCAGTCTTTGAGATAGCGATATGTGGCACTTAACCAACTTTTACATAGGCTGAAAATAATTTTGATTGATTGACAACCCTGCCTCTGATTGAAAGCAAGCTCGAATAAATCAACCAAAACTGACTGCGTTGTGTCTGGCGTGGGTACTCTGTTTTCGTGGTTCCCTATATAATTGCAGTGATTTGTTAATCTGGCAACACATGTCGCTACAGATTAGATGCAGATGGAACGGTATCAAGGACGGATCAAGGATTATTTGAAGACTTCAGAAGGGGAGGGGGGTCCGGTTTTTTAGGAAAGAGGCCCGCTGAAGGGCACCGAAAATTTTTGGCATTTTAGAGGGCGAACGGTGCCATTTTTCTACGGTCTAGACAGACAAATTTCTAACGTATTCAAAGCATGTTTAATATTAGAAACATTGGTTCTTTACGAAAACATTTAACTGATTCTACTACAGCAACAGTAATACATGCCCTGGTTACATCAAGACTTGACTACTGCAACTCCACTTTAATATGGATCGTCGGAGGAACAAACCAAACGGCTACGTGTACAAAACATATCTGCTCGCCTTCTGACCCGCACTTCAAAAGACAACCACATCACCCCTGTTTTAATGATGTTGCACTGGCTCCATGTGCGAGCACGCATTTTATTATAACTTTTAACGTTTGTACATGCAGCATTTTATAACTTGCACCCTCCCATTTAAATGAGCTAGTTTCATATTATACACCATCACGAAATCTTAGATCAGGTGACCACTTTCTTTTTACGGCTTGTAAGGCAAGATTGGTGTCATGTGGTGACAAAGCTTTTAAAATTGCAGCACCTAGAGAATGGAATAATTTACCCATCAATCTTAGACAAATTGTAGACTCTGGACATTTTAAAAAGGAACTTAAAACCTACCCTTTTAAGCAATATTATTTTTAAATTCTTGTAAGAACACTTTTTACGAATAATTGTTTCTTAGTTCATAGTTTAAATTTTCACCTCTTATCCATTTTTTACCTTTAACTTTTTTTCTGCTATCATTTTCCTTCTACTCATCTTATATCCATTAGTGATTTTTTTCTTTTAATTGTGAATTTTATAAATTCTGTAAAGTCTATTGAACATGTACGTTGGATTTTAGACTATAAATAAATATTATTATTATTATTACTAGAACTATGATTAAGCTAGTCAAAATTTTAATATCAAGAGAGGAGTATTGGTGTGATTTATTTTTCAGAAACCGAAGGGGGGGGGGGGCGGGCAGGACCCCCCTGACTCCCCGGCTAGCACAAAATTCATGCGTTGTACTGGTTGTGCTTACGCACGGCAGGAAAGGTCTCAAAAAGTGCTAACTTTCGACCAGTTTTGCACTCCCACAGAAACAAAAAATAATGATAATAAAATGAAATAGAAAAATTATTTTAAAAAAAGTAGAAGTATTGTTCTCTGCAAAAATTGCCCCTATTCATGAGAAGACGCGTTACTGTCTACCATTAAAAGACCCAGTTCAATAGAAAATGGAACTACTTTTTATATCAACCCTGTATCAATTTCTGATTCCCCATCGAGTAAATTCTGAATCATTCTTACGAATATATAGAGATTAAAATAGATTAAAATAAAGGAAGAGAGAGAGAGAAAGGTTAAACGATGAGAATGGAACTATACGGCATTTCGGTAGGGCCTACTGAGTTTACATGTGAATGACCCTTAAATCGGGGCTTAAGTAAGCTCAGTATCTGTGGGTATTTCTAAGGCCAAATTTGGGACAAAGGAAGCGAAGATATGAAGTTTTTGTTTTCTTTTTATTCACGAAAATTAATACAGGACATTCACAACACAATGAGGGACAAAAACACCTTCCACACACCATTCACATACTGCAAAAAAGTTCTTACAAATGCTGATTAAAAAATACATTTAGAATTTTTTTAATAAAAGAATCTTAGTAGGCCTGGGCTATGACAAATGTTCTTTTCTATTCATATAATATTTTTTCTATACTTTCACATTTTTTTCTTAGATCATCTGCCTTTTGAGGACTCAGTATATATAAAGACTGAAAATCTATTTTCTTTTGCTTTTCCAAAACTTTTTGCAGGCATTCCAGAGAAATGTATGATATGAAGTTGCCTCGTACACAATTTTTTGAGTGCACTTCTTTTGTTTACGTACTAAAAGAGAGGAATGTCAAGACTCGCCTACCGCCCCCGGTTCCTCTGTTTAAACCCCTTTGACTTATCTGCTGGCAAACCGACTTTTCTCGACCTGAGTTCAAAAACTACGGAAGATTTTTTACCTAATCTGGGTCATAGAAACAAGTTAAAGATGTTTCTCTATGATAGATTAGTTGAAAAAATTACCGAGAGAAAAAAGCTTCATTTTTAGTGTCACTTGCGGTATGAAGCATTAATATACTGCACGTAGAATATTAATTGCAAAAGGCATGCCAAAAAATCTATTTCATTATAATATGCTCCTTTGGACAAAAAATTCATAGAATGTACTAGATGAGGCAAAGCAAAGATGATGTTGTTAATGCTGTATTAATTTTGTTTTTATTTAAAAATAGAGTAGAATAAATTAGATAAAAAAGTATGTTTTCAAGTAAATATTCGATCAGTAACTCTTATACGGCGTAGCAACCATTTTATATATAATGAAAAGATAATTTTTTACCAATCTGATGAAAAAATATTGAACGAACAACTTCAATAGATTTAACCAAGAATTTCAAGTCTTTGATTAAACCAGCCCGACTTATTCCACTATTAGTTATTCATTTTCACACGTTATTAAAATCTGGAGTTTTTTATACTTATGAAATACTAACAATATATCGCAGATTAAAGCTCGAAAGATTGTTAACGCATTGAATAAAATTGTTTTCAGTTTTAATTTGGCAATTTTAATTGTGCAGTTTATTTAAAAACAGCAGTTTTCACGCACGCTCCTGTCAATATACAGAGACGGCTACTTATTGCCCCGGTCCTTTATAAGGAACGAACAAAACTGGTCCTTTTTAATTTTACCTGGCCACTAGCATCATTATCTCGGCATTTTTTCTCTCCGTAGCTCATGAAAAAATGAAAGGTTTTACTTTTTATACCATTCGTTTTTTAAAAATGACCCAAAAATATTCATTGGGTGTAAAAGAACATTAGTATGATTAAAGTAATATGTTCAGTTCGTATATGAAGTTCCGATTTCGTACGAGCACCAAAGGAAGGATTATGGAGCAACAAACATCGACAACAACGTTAATTAATGTATAATATAATTAATCTATATAGTAATTTTAAATCATATCCAGAAAAAGAATGACAACTGATTTTTAGTACAATTAAAAACGCCTGTGGAAGAACCCGGGACTCTTAGATAAATAAATAAAATAAAATGCCCCTACCTCCAGAATGTTACGACATGTATTGTTATAGACAGGTATGAATCAAATTCAAACAGGCTCATTCAACTTTGATAGAAGCTGTCAAGCGCACACGACTATGAATGACAGTTTTTTAAATAAACGTCAAACACAATTACTACACTCCTCTCTCCGAACATGTAAAACTCCCATATCCTTTGATTGACAAGATGCCAATCAAATTCATTAGTTTTGATAGTTGCTGTCAAGTAATAACAGCTTGATTGGCAGGTTATATAAACAAACGTCAATCACAGTCATTACACAGTGGATCACTCTAGTCGTCGAACACGTTTAGTTCAAGCTTGCTACATCCTTTGATTGACAAGTTGCCAATCAAATTCAGTTAGTTTTAATAAGTTTTGTCAAGTAATAGCAGCTTGATTGGCAGGTTATATAAACAAATGTCAATCATCGCGCATTGTGATTTTTCTCGCTGTGAAACAGTGAGTACGCCGAAAGAGAGCGCTAAAATCTGAAGTTAGTAATAAACTTGCAAAATATTTCAAGAGACTATATACAGCATGTTTCCAAAAATAGTTCTCTTTCTGAACCCTTCAGCGTGTCTAATACGAAACTCTAGATTACAAACTATTTTGTAAAAAAAGAAGAATTTAGCAAAAGAAACCAATTTAAAAACAGATTCAAGTAAAGAAATATGACATTTGACGTTATTTTGGAGGTAGCACATGGATCACTTCAAAATTAGTACAACTATGTGCCCCAGTATCTATGTGCGTGGAAGAAAGAGGAAT